ATGATTCTGCCTCTAGAATTTCCTTTAAGAAGGGAAGACTACTTCCTTTTCTCTTGTCTTTCCCAAGAGCAAACCTCTGCAACAAAGTAAGAGGCTCCATTAGATGCAGAGATGAATGGCAAAAACATTTCTCTGTTTTCCCAGAATACAGGAAGATCTACAAAACATACAATGTTGACAGGAAATAGGCTTTGATACATCTTAATAATTTCCCCCTTTTTAGTATTTTGGTGCCCTGGTTCCTCCACTAGCCACGGTAATTTCTCTGGTTTTACTCCATCTCCTCTTTTGACTAAGGTTTCCTAATACATTAACACTCATCAAAGAAGAACAATATTTTAAAGAAAATTTTCTGTTAAGATTACAGGGTATTCAGATAAATGTCTAGAGACACACAGACTACAGCAGGCTTGAAAGTTATACAGTCATGGTTAAATGAGGAAGTAGGACAGAGGCTGCATCCAGTTAAGTGACTCTCAGTCCCCAGAGAGTCATAACTTTAAGGCTGTTTGGAACACGGTGGCTTTAACCCACATGGCCTGTTCCACAGTGCAAATGTGCATCAGCCATTTCAATTCTCTTGGTACAGTACAGGCATTCAGGTAATGGGAGACAAACCATCAGAAAACAGCAATCAGAACAGCATATTCACTTCAGAGGAATAACCCAACCAGACAAAGAACAGGATCATGATACCCAAGGAAAAAATAAGGTCTTATTTCCCCACCCCAGCAGTGGAATACAAGAGCCCCATTAAGAATGCAACAGTTAAACAATTATGTGGTGTTTTGGTACAAGGCAAGTCTCCCCATACTCAAACAATCATTTTATGAATAAGCCCAACTATTTGTTCCCACATGGAAGAACGCTAAAGATAAAATGTAAATTCCACTGACTGAAAAGAAGTGTAGAGCGCTAATAAGGAAAAGACGTGAATATGTGTTTGAGTAACACTCAACTGGTTTTCTGAAACCAAGAGGGAGCTTTTCTTCCTACACAAACTGATACTCAGTACACCTTAAAACCAGTCTACTGATCAGGAGAAACCCAGATGCACAGTCATTAGGTATCCAGGTTTGAAAATTTTGGTTGCAGTAAATACCTTAATAGTAATTCTTAAACAAACAAATCCCAACAAACTAAACCAAAAAAGTTAGGGAATTTTAAAAACTACACAGACTTCTAGTTTAACATAGGCATTAGTTTGTGAAGTCTTTTTCTTTGCACAGTTCATCAGTAATTAATATGTACAGTAAAAAGAACTATGAAGAAATAAAATCTGAACACTTCAATCTGCAAGAAGCTAATGCCTACTTGATACATATTAAGAGGATGTACCTGCCAGTTAGGGATGACATTTCCATGATCTAGAGTGACTTTTTTATTCCAGATGCTAAATGGTTGCATTCATTCTTGACTTTCATTCTGAAGGAATAATAAGTAGCTGATTCTCTTTAAAAAAACCCCAAACAAATCCTACTCCAATGGGTTCAGGGTGTATTATGAATGTCCCAAGTCAATCAATACCTGTGCAGAAATGTTTCACTTGGTAAGGAAATTTTCCAGATGCATGTTATTCAGAAGCTGCTTATAAAAGTGGCTATTGGCTAGGGTTGGAAGAGAATTAAATAGAGAGGAACAGTGTTGTACCAAAATATGTAAAGAAAAATTTAAAGCTTTTCAATTGAAAAAAAAATGTATATTCAACTCATATTAGATACAATGTGCACAACAGACAGAGCAGTTAAAAACAAGTACATTTACAAAGCTTTCTTTTCATGGTTAATTTCTACCAGCATTTCTGAAAGTAACCCACTAAAATGATGACCCTGTTTATAATAAAGGCGCAAAATATTGCTCTGTAGCGTATTTTGAAAATAATATAAAAATAATTTCTATATTACAATTTAAACTTGGCTTGTAGAATTCCAATATAATACAGCCTTAAGTCTAGAAATAGAACATACTTACAAACACCTTTGTGTTGTTTTCCTCTCATTTTTAACAATATAACATTTTAGTCATATACATTGGAAATCCATGTGCAAATTAAAGTAGATATTAGTGTCTGTTACTGAAATAATTTAATTTCTATGCCATAGTTTGGTGATCCTCCACATAAGCTGCCATTCCCTAAAACAAACACTCTTCAAATACACTGACAGAGACTTAAAATACACTAAGCTAAAATGCCATCTACAATCAGCATCAGTTATTTTGCCTCTCTGGACTTAAGTTTATTTGAGATCATTGTGGTTTCTATGAACATATGGGTTTTCACCTGTGCAAAACACTCACAGTGCTATGAAGACCGTATTCTCTTACTAGCTAGTTTGCAATGTTTTACATGTCAATGAAGCACCTGGTTTAAGGCCCCCACTGCTAATGGGATTCTGTCCACACACTGCAGAGGACAGCAAAGGTAGCCCAAACAGACCTAAGGCTTCTCTCTACTCCTCAGGCAGAATTCTCATCCACTGTCTCCTTGGAAGAGGAAGGTAGGCAGCCTGTGGGGAGCAGGCACTGCCAAAGGCTCAGGCCTCCATCAAAAACATTTCTTGTGTAACCCTTGGTGAGAGTTTCTGAAGAGAAGCAGTCTGCTCGCTGTCAGGGAGAGCAGTCCCATTGGTGAAGGTGAGCACCAGTGTGGCTGTGTCAGAGAGGGGAGGTGGAGGGCAGTGTTTGCCAGCTCTGTGCTGGGTTTTGATACCTGCACGTTCACCACCCCAGCAGATGAGGAGCAGCCCTCCGGGCCCTGCACCGGCTGTGACAGGTCCTGGGCAGCGTGCTCAGCGCCCTCTGGGCCGCGCTGCACTGCTCACACCTCAGCTCCCAGCCCCACTAACACCCTGAACGCTCCGCTTGGCCTGCTTAGACTTCTAGGATACCAGCAACACAAAGCTTTTCAAGTACAGCACCTTTCTTTTACTCATGCTCCTCATGTTACTTTTGATTCAGGAAGAAGCAACTAATTGCTAAAGAAAGCTGGGACAATATTGCCATTGTATTTATAGAACAAAAGGTTCACCAATTGCTTCAAAATCCAAAATCTGAAGTTACTTTTGATAATCTACAAAATCTTCTTCTGAATGAGCTGCTTGTTAGCCATATGCTACAACTGACACCCACCTCTAAAAATATATTAGTAAACTCTAACAGTGGTTTATTAACTCTGTATTAATAATTTAAAATGAAACTTTAATATAAAGCATGACTGAAACCCATTATGTATCACAGGTATCCTCTGTTACAAACCAACATTTGCATCAGAGTTTAGAACAAAGGAAAAAAAAATTGCATAATAGGTTTAAGCCTTTTTTAAATTAGAAAAATTGCACATTCACACTTTAAAAGAATTCCAGTTTCCTCCAACCTAAATATTTCCTGGTGATCCATCTGGGAAGGTGTAGCCTCCCCAGTATTTACTCTGTACTTCCGAAATCTGGACTGCAGTGACAAATGCTGAATCAATATCAAGAAGAGAGGGGGGGAAAAGCACATACACATGCAAAAATACATGTGTGCATTGCAGCCAGTCGGGCTAACAGAAGGAATGAGTAGGATCCCTCCAAAGCAAAGCTGATTTCTCCATATCTGGGACTATGTGGGAACTCTACAGCTCTGGAGGGTGTAGGGAGAGCAGTTCAGGCACAGGGCTGGCTGGTCTGTGGGCTGCAAACACTTCCAATTGTCAGGAAAAATAATGCAAAAGAGCGCTCAGAGGTTAGCATACAGTACAACAGAAAACTGCATCCAAAGATAATTACCTCTAGCATGTAGCTAAGGAATGGCACAATGTCTTTCAGCCCTGGTGAATGCAACTCACAAGCAATTGAGAATTCTCTCTAAAAAAATAGGTAGAAAATTTTCTTCTATAGTTACAGTCTTCTTTTCATTGAACAACACTTCTTCAGGAGGAGGGCACAGTTTCTGCATGTTTGGTCTGTTTAATGACAGCTATGGCACAGCTGCCACAAGTAGCCCAGAAACAATGTTTGAAGAGAATTCTAAAAGAAAACAGCAATTAGAAAATTATTCAAAGATATCCCAACAAAAAGATTCTAAGGAAATAGGTGCAACTAAAAAGGGTTCTGTCAGTATTTCATACAACAGATATTTTAAAGTGAGCAATCCTGTAGAGGTAAATAGTTATTGAAATATCTGAGTGTCCTAAGGATGATAATGAACACTCAGGTTTGGTATTCCACACAGACAAGACCGACTAACTTTTCAAAATAATCTAACACACAAGAACAATGTACTAAATAATTCAGAACAGAGTAAATTATACCTAAATGCTGACCAGTTGTAAATCTCTTTCTTTTATGAGAAGATCTTAAAAACATACTATAGAAACAAGTCCTGTGAAAATGGGAAACAGCAAAATCTTACGGTAATTGCTTATTTTTACACATGTACTGCTTTTTTCCTCATTCAGAACAGATGTAACTGGCTTAAGCACATGGGCTGGTGTGGTTTGCTGCTAATGTAATATTTCTTAAGGACAACTTTACACAGAAATTATTCTTAGAGTTATCACACAGTTCTGCTACTCTAATGCCCTAAGAATTTTTAAATATTTCTGTTTTTCTTGAAGTCTTATCCTGCCAGTTTTCTCAGTCTCAGCAGCAAATACAATCAGGTATAATACTGAATTTCTTTTAACATGGTCTGGCTTGTTTTAGAATAATTTGCAATCCCAGTTTTCTTTGACAATTAGAACTTAAATGTAATAATCACAACAGCAAAGCAAAACAGGACACTGCTTACCAGTGTATGCAACAGGAGACATGGGATTTGGAAGGTGCTTATCTCAAGGACAGAAGTCACATGGAGCTTTAACAAATACCACTATTTCCCTTTCATGAAGGAATGCAAGTTCAGTAAGATTCAGTGTATGCTTAGTATACAGTAAGAAGTACAAAGTACAGGTCTGGATTCATGGAACAGCTAACATGGCAAAGACCCTAACTTTTTATACAAGGGATCAAGGGACTTATTTTGAAAACTCCCATTCAGCAGAAAACCTAAAAATATGGTCAATTTTAAGTATGTTCTCAGTTCTACCAGTCTGGGAGACTGGAAAAGCTCACATGCTTTTTCTGAAAGCCAGGACACAGCAGCAGAAGTTTGTGCATCTTGTTTCACAGGGGACTTGGTTTCAGGGTTAATTTGGATTAACTGTATGCAACGGTGCCACCGTTGTCAAGAATTAAAATTGGGTTGCAACAAGCAAATAATCAGAAATGGAGACTCTTTGGCAAAGAATCTTTCCTGTGTGGGTCAGAAAAGTGTTATTCCCTAATGAGGAGGGCAGAACTCCTGTTCTGCACCTTGAGGTGGCAGAGTCAGCAGCCCTGAAGGCAGTACTTTCACCTGTTATGCAAAATTGGCTCTTAAAATGAGCCATTGTTCACAAGGGTAACAACACCAAAGAGCTCCTGTTCTGCATTCTGCCAGCTGATGGTGGAGGGGTGCAAACCCAGAGCTGTATCCTAGAAAACTTCCTCATGGCATCCATCTACTTCAACAGTATCTGCAGTGTCTGCTTTGCAGATATGCTTCTGTGAGCAAAGTTTTATTTTCAGAAGTATTGCAAACATGTAAATATTTGGATCTCAGACTTGTGCAAATCTGTGCAAGGAGCTGCCATTCCTGCTGGAGGCATTTTACAGCCATCTGGGAGCCTCCTGGTGGGGGAGATGACTCACTCTAGGAGACTTGAAAAGAGGAGGAGCCAACAGTCTTCAAGAAAGGCTCAAGTAGTTACACTTGCAATAATTATCACTCAATAATGTTCAGAAGGAGTAAGTAAATAATGATTAGGTTCATGCACTAACTAAGGCAATAACTTGATGCATTGCATTGGTTTTGGCAAGCAGTTGGAGTCTAAAATGATCCTAAATTTCCTAGCTGGTCATCAAATTTTCCATACCTAGTAATTTTTAAAAATATTTTATTGTAATATTTTTCTGTATTTTAACATCAACAGAAATACTTCTGAAATTCAGGTGTGCAGAACTATATGGTGTGGGGGCTTGGGGACATGAAGTCATATTGAATTTTCTTATAAAACCTCTTTAAAAACTCAGTGCAAACAAAAGTGGCTCAAATCTACTTTTTTTTTTTCAATGAAAATTTAGAAATAATTGGTAAGAACTGAAAATTAAGATGACCTACAGCCCTCATGAATTCAGACCTTTCACTCCCATTTTTCTCAAATCACTCAATTTCAGACTGAAATATACAAACATTAGTAGCAATGCAATATGCTGCCATGTTAAAAATGTGCAGTATGCAAAGTCACTACCCTCCTAAAAAAAAAGGCTATGAAAAATTTAGGTTTTACTAAGGAAAAAATACTCTATACCTATATAAGTTCAAATGTCTGCAAGGCAGATACTACCCTACTACAACACCACATCTTCACTAGTATGACGTTCCCCTATCATTCTACTACCTGAGTGATGTCAGTGTAAATTCAGGCACCATTAGTAAACTTTTGACCAAACATATACACTGCACTGACAAAGGAGTAAACAACCCTTCAGCTTACCAGTACATGTAAAAAAGACACTGACAAAATGGAAAATAATATTTTTATGATAAATTATTCCTATTATTTCCTCATTGCCCCAGAAAAGCGAAGAGCTAGACACTATTTACTCATCAATCCTTTATTCTTTAAGGATTCCTTTTACTGCAATCCAACACTGTTTACTTTGTAAGTAAGAAAATGGTAAAACTAAGTAGTCATGGAAGAATCCTCAATGCCTGTGTCCCTTGCTGTCCCTCTCCCTGCGCTTTAACTCCTCTTTGTAGCAGTAGGAACAGTAATTTTCAGTCTCAGGACGACCATAAAAGGAACAGTTCTCCTTCTTACAGCGGTTCTGCTGGATGGAATATATTGGGCAAACTGTGCTTCTGCCTTGGTTTTTGTCGTTGTTCAGCCAGCTCTGAGGAGCGTCCTCGTCAGCGTACTCCAAGCAGTCTCTGACGTCCCCGGTGTTGAAGCCATTGGTGTAGGTCTGGGACTTGTGTTCGGCCGGCCTGGCGTAGCTCAGCGACTCTACCGTGTTCACCGTGCGCATCCCGGGCAGCCGTGCGGGGCTGTAGCTCTGCGAGGACAGCGACCTGTTCTGCTGGGGGTAGGTGGCACAGGTTTTCAGGGTGCCAACCACTGGCTTGTAGGTATCATCCTGGAAGCTCGATGGCTTGGAGTTGACGTCATGCAAATGGATGACACTTTGCCTTTGAACGGGGGGGGTATGGCTATAGTGGGCAGACACCGGGATGGGGCCGCTTCTCTTGGCACCGTTGCTGGGTGAAGAAAAGGACCCGGGAGTGGGACTAGTGCGGTCTTTAAACTTTAAAACCAGTTGGGTCGTATGGCTTTGAGGTAAGACGGGTGATGCCCTATCCTGAGGAGATGGTTCTAATTTTTCTTTTGAAAATGCCTCTGGCTCCAGTTTCCTACTAGAGGAGCCATTCAGCACAGCCTTTTTCTCAGCTTCCTTTCTTTTCTGTTCCTGTTCTGCATTGAAGCGCTCCTGGGCACTGGTCAGGTAATAGCCGATCATCTCCTCGTGGAACTGATGCCTGTGACTGGTCAAAAGAAGGCCAGCAAAAATAAACTTTCGTTCACCCTGCATGGCAGCTCTCAAAATATTTAGGCTGAGTTTCACGTCTGTGCTGTACTTCCATGGGTCAGACTGCTTGTCAGAAAAGGGTTTAGTGTTCACCTTTTCAGTGGGGGAGCTGCTGGCTCTGTCAGTCGGAGATGGAGTGGTCTTCTCTGACGGAGACGTGCTCGCAGACTGTCCAGATTCCTCTTTGCTCCCTTTGCGAGACTTGGACTTCTTCTCTTTGACTTTCTCTACTGTGTCACCATTTTTTCCATTCCCTGAATTGGCTCTGCTCATCTTCCCGTGCACCAGACCTCCAAGACCACCCATGTTCTTTTTCAGTTTAATTCCCAGGGTTTTACTGAGGCTTCCTATTTTATTGGCAACTGAATCCGTCCTGGTTTTGTCTTTATCTTTCCTTTGTTTGTCCTTTTCTTTTTCTTTACCGTTTTTGCCGTTATTGCCATTGGAATTACTACAGATGGACTCTCGGTCTGAGTCCATGGAGTCAGCCAGAGACTGCACGTCTTCTCCAGCAGAAGCTGTAGGGGATTCTGGTTGAGCCAAAGGGGCCTGCTATGGAAAAGGAATTATAATTAGATACAGCAAAATCCATTTCATACAGGAGTTGGTGCAAAAATACCTACCCCAAATTCAATACAGATTTTGACACTGATTTTAAATACACTTTTTAATTTATGCACTGACATTTTTGACTGGTTCCATCACTAAATAAAGCTTTTCTAACTGTGCTTACTATGTATTTTGCTTGTTCCTAAGTAGCTTTTGGCTCATTTCAGACACATTTGTAGAACAGAGGTCAGTCACTCAGATGCTCTGTGAAAGTCAGTGCCTGAGTCATGGGGGAAAGCGAGTTCCCTCCTGCCCCAGAGAGCCAGGACAGGGAGGATCAGCAGTGTAGGCTGTCCCTCAGGCCACGGGAAAGGAGCTGGGAAAGATGCAATGGAAGGGGAATGAGCTGCTGCTGAAAGCTCTGAGGGGCATACAGCACACAAACCTGTGTGCAGCAGTATTTCAAAATTGATTATGTTCAAAACCCAGCTTATTTAAATTGACTTTTTATTTATTTAGGTCTCTGGTGCATGAAAATTAAAGGGAGGATGCACCAGACCTAAACATCTCATATGAAATATCAAACATTAAACTCAAGCAAGTAGGCTGAGGAATACAAAGATGTGTATTCATGTTTATTGGAAAGGCAATGCAGATAAAACTGGTCATAAGGCTGAGATCCACTTTATATTTTAAGTTACATGATAAAACACCTTCCTTGAAAATGCAATAACATTAATCCTAGAGTACTTTAAAACAGGACTCTGTTCATGTACTGCTGCAGAACAGTCTTGCTTTCAGGCACCATGAACCTAAAATCTGCTAGAGATAAATCTGAAATATTCAACTGGCTACAAGGACATGGGGAGGGTAAGCTCTGTACTTGTGTATACTTCTGGTATAGAAATACCTGCCATCATTGTCCCTGGGTACTTACATGTCCTCTCTCCCAGGAAACCCTGAGCACCCCAACACTCAGTTGGGAGCAGAGGTGTTATTCCCACAGAGCAGAGGGGAAAGTGCTGCAGTGACCTGACCATGATCATGCAGCAAATGTACCTCTCCAAAGGGAGAGGTACCCCAGGTTCCACAAGGCTCTCCACTTACAAGTGCAGGACCATTTTTGTTGTTATCATATTGTTGTTATCATATTTTTAGAGTTTTATAATTTTCTGGGTGGTTTTCTTACAAGCAGCTTTTCACAGCAGTGTTGTTTTTGCTTCTTTGTCAGGGCTCTTCTAAGGTTCTCTTTGACTGGCTAACTTACTTCTTTTTATTTCAGTTATTTTCATTATCTACAGCTGCTGCTCAATTAAGGATATCACAGCTGCAGCTCATTTAGAACAACTAGGATCGGGACAAGGCTACTTATACAATACACATATTTTACTGAGACTCATAGGCCACTTATACAATACAGATATTTTACTATGGCTCAAAGGCCACTTATACAATACACACTAAGATTCAATGGCCACCTATACATTTTGACTCTCCTTTTTCTGATATGGTAGCTACTACTGTAGAAACTGTAGAAAAATGTTTTTTTTCCTCTCTTACAGCTTGTTAAAATACTTTCTCCTTTTGTGTTCTGTTTCTCTGTTCAAACTCCATCTGTGTAGGCTGTCTAAATCACCTCCATCCTCTCCTAGCAACCTTTTGCTTCCAGCCTAACCCCTCCACCTATTCAATGCAATTTGCAGAGAAATTTCAGTGTCAGCTGGGCATAGTTCTAAAACAGCTCTCTGGAAGAGGCAGGCTACAGTTTAGTGCCAGTCTATGGCCTTTTGTCAGCCACTCCAAACTGGGAGTTGTCCACAAGTGCAAATGCACTCTCAGAAAGAAATTGGTGACCTAACAGTGGCATCAGGAGAGCAATACAAAGTTCTGAGAAAACAGTGGTGAGAAAAGGTTTCTTTAACTTACACAAATGACTGAAATTTATACCAGAAAAAGTAAGCTAGAAGACACATTTCAGCAAAAAATATACAAGCAACAGTGCTATTAAAACAAATAACCAGAAAAATTTGTAAGCCTGATTGGTGTCAGTGAGCCATGAGTGGCTGTCCCTGCTGCCAGGGCACTGAACTGTTTGCAGGCAGCCTATCCTTGTATCTTCCATGCTGTGGGAGCAAGGGGGAAGTTTACCTTACCCGTGTCTCAGAGGGGATGCGGATCCAGGTTACATTCATGTAGCTGTGCAGAAGATTAAGCTTTGCCTCAAGAGACAGAATCAAACTAAAGATAAAAAAAGAAGGGAACAAGCAGTCAAAAAGCTTGAAAGAAAAAGCAATACTTCATAACAGGGGGAGATGCAACAGCAGCCTGATTGTGACTGTCAGCTGAAGAACACCTCCCCCCATGTCTCCTACCATGTAAGCAGAGCACATGAACCAAGCCCTCACTGTCAGCAGTTCTCCCAGTACTGCCACCAGGTACAGCTCAAGACATTTTACTGCTTAACACCAAAGTTACAGAAAGGTCTTACTTGGCCAGTCTGGTGTTATCATTGTCATCTTTTCCCCACTCCCAGTCTTTGCCAGGATCGACCGCAAAGTGCAAAGGCAGTAACTTGTGTTCAGAGTCAGTCAGGGGGATCACCGCTGAAGCAGAGAAGAAACAAGGATTGGAGTGGGGGAAACAAAAATTATGAAAAGAAGAAAAGATTCAGCTGTAAAAAGCAGAATCACTGCTTCAAGAAGAGCAGAATTTGTGCTGCAGAACTGCCTCATTCAGAGCACCACAAATGATTTATACCGGGCTCCATTTGCCTCTTTTCATGTTTGTGCAATAAAAGAGGGAGAGGTTAATACACTGATTGCTCCTGGAGTGAATGATAGTCACCTGTGGAGGAGGGGAGACCTCTGGAGAGAACCACATGGCCATTTGGACTGTACAATCAACATTTCCTGGAGACAGAGCCATTAGAATAGCAGAAAGTAATAAAATGTTGCAATATTCCTGCCTATCGCTCAGAATCAGAGATTAACATGTTTGTTATTTTGCCTTTTTAGTTTACTACCTTTGTACTTTCAAAGAAATAAAAATATATTGATATCAGCATTAAGAAAGAAAACAAGAGGAAGCTACCGTGATTTTGGATTCAAACTAAATTAACATAATTGAAGAGCAGAGATCAACATGTATATGGGTTAAGAGGTCAGCTTGAGGCCTCTGGGTGCAGTGCAAAGGCCATTATTGTCCTTACAGCCCAACACTGCTGCCAGCAGTTTTGCTCTTCTGCTCTTTCCCCTCTCTGCTCAGGCTCTGTCCTAATGACTCTGCCTCTTCTTTATACTCAGCATGCAGGGACCACACTCGGATGTCAGAGTGTCTATCATTCATCACCAGCAAGCGACTAAGAAATAAAGCAATGCCAGTTTTAATTAAAGCTACCAATTCACTTCTATTTGATTAGGAAAACAAGTAAAAGCTGTTGAGGGTCTGGATAGGATCCTCAGCATGGTACAGGTCACTGCTGCTCCTCTGACAGCTAATCAAGGCATTTACCTTTCTGCACTAGAGCTCTTCAGGACTTGCCCTGAGTATTCATTCCAGACAATCCAAGGCCAAAGAAACCTAGAGAAGCCACCCAAACATCGTGGCACTCAGTTATTGAAACCCGACTTCACATGGGACTCTGTGCTGTTTGTGACCCTTTCTGCGGCGCAGCACACACGCGCGGCCAGAGCGGAGGCGCAGCGCTCCGGGCACGCGGCTCGCTCGCCCCCGCAGCGGCTCCGCGGCCCCGGCGCTGCCCGGACAGGCCCGAGGCGGCCCAAATCCCGCGGGGCGGCGCCCCCTGCCGGCCGCGCCGGGAACCGCCGCGCTCTGCCCCGCAGAGCCGGCCCGGGAGCGCCGCTCCCCGAAGGCTCCGCACGGACACAGCGGGACCGGAGCTCCCCAGGCAAACTCCGGGCACACGCGGGGAGCCCAAGTCTGCCGTTCCGAATACACTGCACTGCACCGGAACAGCACAAATGTACAGCAGCTGTGACAGATGAATGCACTTCTAACACTTCCTGGTGTAATATGAGGTCTTATCCTAACGCATTCAATGAAATTATTGCAACCAAGAGGCTGGAATAACTGAGAATACCATTAACTGAACGTGTTTCACAAGGAAAATGCATATTCTGCCAATTAACTGAGTTACCAGCAGGCACTGACTGGACTGACATCTGACCTCAACCATTTAAAGGAAGAAGGCAACTTAGGAAAGAGCAATGTTGTAAGTTTACAACACAGCCGTTCCCTTCTGGTAGCACCTGGTCTTACAGGCACAGCGTGGTAAAAAACTGTGACTGTAATCCTAGGACAGGTGATGATGGAAAGCTTGGAGCAAAGAACCACCAGAGAGTTGAAGCACTTTATTCTTGGGATAGAAACTTCAATGGGTAAATGTGACTTTCTTCTCTATGGGCAGCTTGAAACTAACTAATTTTCACATAGTTAAATAAATATTTGGCGTATAAACAAATTTTTTAAAAATCCTTTTAAAAGCTTGCTACTTCTACTGATACTGAAAATACCTACTAAAAATGCTTAGCAGTACTCCATTTTATTAAAAGACAAATTAAGTAAAAAACAAAGCTTAGAGCTGATTGTCTGTTGCATGACACTGTTGTCTTAAGTCCTGTACACATTCTGAGTGTCAGAAATGTGTTCACTGAGTTGAGTGCTGATTGTATCCTCGTTCTAAGGTATAGTCTTATAGGCTGGTGTGAAGCACTGCTGTTTTCATGGAAAACAAATCTTCTAAAGTGAAGGACTTTGAAAATTCTGTCTTCACTGCAAGAGCATTTCTCTCTCAGGGAATTTTGTTTGATAGTTGGAGTTTAATGTAAGATTTCCCCAAGTTCCTGATAGAAAAGTATTTTTTTGTCACAGCTGCAAGCAGAGTCCACCCCATTCATTTCTAAAGCAAACCCCACAGACTGCAGCACCTACCTGACACCCAGCAGGGTCTGCAGCTTTGGCTGGCGCTGGCCCCACTTGGCTGTGGCTCTCTAGATGGAACTGCACTTCTCCAAGCACAGCCTACCAGCCCTAACTCCAACAGATGGGATAAGTGACAAGCAACAGCTGCTGGCTGGTCCATGGCAGCGTGACACACACAGTGAGGACTCTGCTGCCATTCCCTAGCTGGGTGTGCTGCCTCCTGTGCTGTGAAAGAAGTCACAGCACTTCCCAGCTCTCATCCTCATGCCTCAAGTGCCACTATTCATCTAAAAAGAACAGCACTTTAACTCTTTCTGAGCATGCCAGTACAATAAAAGGCTGGCACAGAAACTGCCATGGTGCTGTTCAAGACCCACTGCCACACCTCTCACAGTGTTACTTGGCCTGAGCACGGCAGCATGGAAAGCTCCACTACCAAGGGAGCAATCCCAGGGACAGTTGAGACCTCGTCTGTGTTTTCTATAAACAAAGACACAAAAGACCTGCATCAGTAGAGCCTGCATTAATATAAAAGTATTTACCCGTTTTTAATCAGACACTGGATTTCAAAGAGGGCCCCTGGTGACCATCAGAATGCCAGGGACTCTGTGTAATAAGTAGTGTCAAAATGTGTCTTAAATCCTCTCCAGACAAGGGGATATTAGCATGTTTTCCCTTTATGTGTATTTATAGTAGTGTTCTGTAACAGGACTCTATGCCAAAGCAGAACTTAAAGCATTGACATCAGTATTTCAGTGACCACACATACTTCTCAAATGCAGACATAACTGTCTCCTCCACTAGAGAGCTCAGCAGCTGCTTAAATGTGTGTATGTACCTGCAGTAGTTCAGACACCTTCAGATGCTGCCCCTGACACTTGGTGAGAGCATAAATACTACAAGTTATGAATGGCCTGGATCTCCAGGATGCTATTTTTAAGAAGGTGCAGCTCTAAGTTGCATTCTGATAGCTCAAAATCTGCCCTTGTGCTGAGGCCCCTGTGCCATTGCTGCTGACACTTGACAATGGTGGCTGCCCCTTGCCATGTGCCAAAGCTGCCAGAGCTGCTCTGCTGACAAGGTACAAGCCCCAGGCACTGCTGGAGCATCCCTGTGCCCATTTCCCTCCTGTCACAGCACATAGAGGACAACAGCAATGCTGTGGCTGCTGCTGGACTGCTGCAGTCTCCAACAGCAACTAGCTTGGCAGCTACAGCATTCCCTTCATCCCAAAATAAATGCCAAATGCTCTCAGCTGCTCTACACAACTGAAGCCTGTGCATTTAAGGCCCTGAAGTAAGAGGGGTACAATCAGGTCACGCAAAACAAACACCACTTTGATTCACTGACCCTTGTAATTAACCTGTATGAACTTGTACATGAAAGTTAGTAGTTAATGTTTCTGAGGCTGTGCTGGATATCTGGCAGGAGCTTCTTTCCCAGCACCTTTCCTGTGGAAGTATAGGAAGATCCTACAAAAAAGCAGTTGCTAACCTCAAGAAGGACATTTAACATTACTGCTCTTGTAGGACCTGAGGTACTGAAGGCAGAGAGATGTGCCTGAGATAAATGAGGCTCCCGTCTGCTGATATTATTCCAGCTGTTTGAAAGGAAGAAATGGACTGTGCCATTGTCTTGTGATTGAGCCACTCAGATTCCTAAACATGCAGCAATAAAATTTAGTGAGTATTGTTTCCTTTCTGTCAGATAAATACATCTACAGGTAAAAGAAAGTACTGTGTGCACTGTATTCAATATATATGCTAGTGTTGCTGTGTTTAAAGCATACCTTGTTCTCTCTGTTGGTCTTTTTGTTCCATGGAGACAAGAGCAGAGAAATGGGCCTGATCATAGGCCAGGACAAGAGGTGAGCAATGGCATCTGTTTGGCAGAACTTCAAGTGGCAAATAAATTCCTCCAAATGGTATCGGTGCAAATGCTGCAGAGAATAAGGAGATTTGTACAACTATGTGAAAGAACAGATGAGTTGTATAAACAATTGTGCTGCAGTATCATCAGAGCTCCAGGAGAGCAGCTTAAAGTGGGGTAATCAATGCAGAAAACAGTCACAACAACAGGTAAAATTTCATTATAAAATGTCAGGAAATATACAAAGAACCATAAGGAAGATCTTCCAGGCTTACATAATTTTTCTTGCTCTAACTGTTTATTGGTAAAGGTATTATGGTCTTATAATAAAATCTTGATGATTCTCACACATATAAGCAGAGTTGTACCTTCCTGTAATGCTTCTAGGCAGAATTATTTTCTAATAATCATCAGTAAATACACTGTCAGGTCTTTTGGTAACATACTCTGCTTGTACCTTCCATTAACAGATATCCATAAGAAACATTACAAACATGTTTATAGTCCACACGTTGTATATATCTGAATGCACACACACATGTATGTATGATAAAGTTAAGGAAGGACTCAAAAGATCCTACAAGTAGAATTTTAATGGAATGTTCCATCTGGAAGGGCACAATTTTCCTTTGAAAGATTCTACACTTGTTTATGCATATTATTATGGGAAAGAGCAAGTTTGGCCAGGAAAACTCTCTCACTGTTTTTGCTTCCAACCAATTATTTTTCCTTTTGCTACAAAAATATGAGACTTTATTGTTGAAATATTTGCAAGATGAGTTCCCCTCATGAATCCCTCGTTCTGCACTGTCTTTCATGTGTGTTTCTCAATAGCCTACAGAATAATCTACAACCCTTACTTGTAGTTCATGATTTGCAATGGAAACTGAAATTATGCAGTATTTTCTTGTGGAAGTAAATTTCTGTAAACTCCATCACCTGCTGAACATCCTCTTTTAATCAGCCAAACATCCCCCTTAAATTAAGTAACACCCCATCATGAATTAGAATTCTGTTATTCATGGTAGAGAGTGACCTGAATTTAATGCTCTGAGTCCTGCTCCGATAGGTTTGACCTGGCTCCACATATGGATCTAACATTTCTGTGCTCACATGTGCAAACTGAATAAAACATTCTGTAAACTTCTGAATGAGAAGATGCAGAGGAGTCATTAAAAACAAAAATCCAAGATACACACATTTAAAATTCAAAATTTCAAAGTCAGATTATATTGATTTCTGCAGAGTTTTAAGGGGCAACTAAATAACATGGCAAAATTAGAGCATTGCTCACTTAGACCAGTCAGAAATTGTGTTCTGTAATTTGGTGGTTATTTAAGTTAATGGGGAATATCTAGGATAACGAGATTCTCAGCAAGGGTTGTATAATTATCCTGTATGTTTTTACTTTTATCTAATAGAAATGGATTGAGTATCTGTCTGTGTTTTCCTTTTTTTTTTCCTTCCTTTCAGAAAAAGGCAGCAGCTCTGCCATGAACACTGGTGTGTTACAGCTGGGTCCTTTGCTGGTATCAGGTTACAATTGATTCAATTTACAGAGGTGCATGGATCTCTAATTACAGCTCTTACCTTCTCCCCCCGAGTCTCGTAACATTGTGTCTGCTACTACAACAATCGGTCTTCTCAAGATGTGGGCTAAGACAAAAACATGGAATTCTTCCAAGCTCTCATACACTGGATCTTCTGCATTGTCCACCCTGCAACACACAGCATTGAGACTTTATGAACCAGCTTGAACAAACCATGAGACTTTGCTGGATCAACACACCCCAGCAGCTATTTCTTCTTCACTGTACCTTATATCCCCACTCCTCTGAAACCCATATTTCAGTCATTGAAGTAGATAAAAAGAAATGGAAAGGATAATGCACTTCTGTAAATAAAATAATAGCAGCATTAAAAAAAAAAATTCCAGGTAGTATCACTATGCTTTAGATCTGCCTCACAATCTTCCAGGAGATGGAAATGCCCAGCACCTTTAGAAACCAACCTAGAAAGTTAATTTTCTACCAAAGAGATCATTCTTTTACCTGGACTGCAAGAATAAATCTGGTAAAGTCTCCACTTCTCTAGGTGACCATTACCAAGCCCTTCTATGACTCCATAAACAAAACAATTTAATGAATTTTTGGTTTCAGTTATTCCCTTTCTGTTTTCCCAGTTTAATGTCATTAATGTCAGTACCACATTTCAAAGCTTTTCCTTTGCCTGGAAAACAAAAACAAACTAGATGAAAGAAGACTGAAAAATGGGAGGGTTGTGGGAAGCAGACAAAAGTGAAAATGATAATTCACTGCTGAGTGCAACTTCACAATATAATACACCCAGAGGCCAGCTTTCGTGAGCCCTGACAAATGAAGGGAGGCAAGGTGACACAGGGACACTCTTAAATGGAGGCAGCGCCTGTCCTCTTCCTGCCAGCTGTGCAGGGAACCTCCAGAACTGACCACTGTTAATTTTCTGTGCATGTGAAGAACAGTAACAGAGCAGAAGTGCCTGGACACTGCTCCAGAGTGTGTGGAACAAACACAGCAACCTCTCAGAGGTCTCACAGCATCCAGCCCCTCCCTGGAGCATCACTTGAAAATCCTTCATCCCAGCCTAGGAGCACTGCAGGGTGGAAATGATCCTGGTGCAGGACATTCACTGGTCAATGAATGTCTCCTTCTCTGGATCCCTCCTCCCACTACCCACACTCATCAGGAAATGTTTCCTGATGTTCAAACCAAAGCCCCTGTTTTGCAATTTCTTCCCCTTTTCCTTACTGAACTCTTCTCCACAGCTGGCTGCAACAGCTTTTCAGCATTTGCAGTCCATTCTGTCACCTCAAAGTAAGCTGTCAGCCAAAAGCAACTCGGGGGAATCATGTTATTGGCAAGACAATATGCCAGAAAGATTTCCAGCTATCTTCTCACATTAGTATTTCCAGCCTATCAGTCCTAATTTTTTCCTTCAAATCCTCTAATTATTCCTCATCTCCTAGTTAATGAGGTTTCTAGAAGTGAAAGGCATATTCCATCCACAGCTGTTATCAGAGGGATCTCTATCCCTTTGATCAGCTGATGCCATGCCTGACTGCACAAACTCCAAAATTCCACTGGGCTTTTTCTCCTCCTCAGTATCGCATCCCCATGCTGCTTGATTCACTGTCTCTGATCATATTCACACATTTCAAACCCTTCTCTGCTATTACACATCCCACTGCTCACTGCCACAGGATCAGTGTGTCTGGGGTCATAAGGGAGCTCTAGGGAACCCCTTATTCAGCCCCTGCTCCATCAGGGCCACCCAAAGCCCGGGATTGTGTCCAGACAGCCTTTGGGTGCCTCCAAGGAGGGAGAGTCCACAGCCTCGCTGGGAAACCTCCTCAATGCTCAATTTTCCACCATCACTGACAGTAATTCATGTGGCCTGTTTTATATTATTTCAGTGCCACTTGCTGAGGATTCAGTATGAATTTTCCTAAAGATTAATGAGAATGAAAAATCATCATTAACAAGTATCCATAGCAACCTGCCACATCCTTTGATCCAATGATCATTCTGCTTTTTTTCAGATATTTTTATGTATGCTGGCTACATGACCACGAAAATTGTGGTCAGAGTAATTTTGTCAATAAAATATAGAGCCAAAGAAAATTTAAGAAACTGAAATTAATTCCTCTATTCATGTAAAGCTAACTTTAAACAATGAAATCCACTTATATAAGAGTATGTAAATCTGCATTGCAGAATCTTGCTCAACCAGAGCACTGACTAAATAAATTATTTTTATTCTAAGAGCAAATTACTAATAAAAAGAAAAGCAAATAAAAATCTCAGTCTGACCTACAGGTCCACTAGCACCTCCAGTTCAAACATGGGAGACACAGTCTCAGCAACCCAAAGAGATTCCCTCTCTTATGGAAAATCCAATTTGTACTGCAGCCAGGAATGAAAGAAAGCCTCTTTCAAAAAGCTGGAAGGGAAAAGTCACCTACCCTGCTGTTCTACCTGGCTGGCTGCTGCTCTCTCACCTGTAAATTCTGAGCAAGATCTGTCCTTGGATTTCCTTCTAACAGCTCCCTACGGTAACATTGCTTTCCTTCCCCACACACAGCTCCAGACTTTCAGTCCAACAGACTCTAACAGCTATTCTGAGTTTAGGACTCATTTTGGGATTCACACAGAGCAAGAGACCAATGCCCTCAGACAGCTGAGATGCACTGAAATAACATGACAGGGATAAAGTTCTCCAACCTGGTGATTTGCCAGAAGCAGGAGATCAGAATGATATCTGAGTTCTGGGTTCTGCATCCATTCCTTTCTGACACTTTTCTTTTCCTGCTTAACAATCCCCAAATGAAAACCAGCACAAACCACAGCTGTAGGTATAGGAACCTCTCCTTTGATTTCCTTACAGTGTTTGTCAGCAATGGGCTTCAATTCAAACACAGGAAATTGCACAGTAGTGGACCATTCTCTTTCATTCTTCAAGGAAAAAAGGTATATTGAATTGACTAAAGGAAAAGAAACACAGAATGTGAATGCTTTGGGTTCCATATTTGAACCACCACAGCAATTTGGCTGTGCTTGGCTTCAGTACTTTATGTGAACTGAAAATAGGCCAGATAAAAAGAGGTATTAGCCTTTAGAAACTACAGCTAATAATCAATAAATATGTTATAAAGAACCATTTCTATCTGCACCCTACAATAGCTGCATATGCTGAACATTTTAAAAGAAATAGCACTCCTGTAACAGATGCCAGATCAAATAAAATCATTTTAGTGCAATGTCTTGTTAAATGGTCTAAACTACATTCTGTACAAGGTGAGGGTCTTGCATGGCTGCAGGAGTTGTGTATGAAGAGCTGTTTGTTGAAGCACTCTGAATACCAAGCCAAGTCCAAAACCTCAGAGGACACTTGCATTTGAGAGGTACTTCCTGTTTAAATGTTCTGGGTTTCCGCCTCAAACTCAATTCCAATGACATACACGAAGACTACAGCAGTATTCCCTCCCTGCTTCCCCATTTTAAGTCCCTTGAACTTATTAAATAAGATAATGCCAACAGCACAGGGACAGCTGGGAGGTGACAATAAGTACAAATACCATCCACTTCCAGGGTCTGCATGAGCTCAAAGCACAACAGCACCTGGGTTTTCAACAGTGAATAACAACAGTGATACTCACTCTCACATGAGAACAGGCTCTGACTGATAGTTGCACAGTGAAGGATGGGGTTGGAATTTTCTTTTGAGCAGGACAGCAATAGTTAGGTTCTTAACAAAAAACAGGGTACCAGACATTTTCCTTTTTTCACTGCAGTTCCTTCAATTCAGTGCCCCTACTTTTGCTTGTAAATGGAGATAAATGAAGCAATTATGTTAATCTAGAATTCATTTTTTACATTTACGGGAAGATGTGCAAATCTGTTTCAAAACAAGAATCTGCTTCATAAGTTTGCTTTGCTTTACATGCTGGAAACAAGAACTTAAGAACCAGGTTTTTCTGTGCTTCCTTTTTCTCTTTTTCCAACTTCCAGCCTCAGAATGAGAGTGTCTCAAAGGAGAAATCTTTAGAAATTTAGCGACAATTGCTGATCTCCTTTGCACATAGCTCACTCTGAAAAATAACTAAAATAAGTTTGCAGGTGAATGAGGCAGCACAATTCCAGCCTTAGGTTTGTCACTGAATTCTTTTGAAGCAAATACAACTTCTGATGCTTTAGCTAATTCTGACACCAAAGGAAAACGTCTCATCTACAGTTCAAAGACTGATGTGCAAGCTTGCTTAATATAGCAACTAACTAGGGGACATAATATACCCCATCTCAAAAATACTATTTTGATATTCCTTTTCCTTGTCAAGGGCCCTGCTTTGAACATGGGCTCATTAAACTGAAAAAATAATTCATTCTGCCACATTCATTCTGTCTTTGGAATGAATGCAAAGAGAAGTATACATTCAAATCTTTAACAGGATAAAGATTTCTTGCCTGATCCATCTTTCACTATTTCAAAGGAAAAATTAACTGTTGGCTATTTGTATTTACTTTATTTTGATTGAAAAAAAAGATAAGTGCAAACCATAATGAGAAGGTTATTTATGTACTACCTATACTCCCCATGTAGGTACCTGGGAACTGAAGGTTGACTGCCTGGCAAAGATAACATTTGAGAGCATCTCTGACTAAAAGCTACTGAAAATATGTGGTACATGGAACATAAGAATGAAATGGAACAAGTCAGAGAAAACTGGGGCTGAATGACCAGATTTAATAGAAATATGAACTGAACTGCCTTAGAAAACTGAAACGTATCAACAGGAAAATATCTACAAACATAAGAAACAAACTAGAGATTAAAATAATTTATTTTTTTTCACTTCAGAATAGAAGAAAAGGAGACACACTGTGGCTGACAATTTTCTAAGCAAAGTCCTCCTGAATTCCTAGAATTACCTATCCTTAATATCACAAGGTTAAAGGGAAAATAAAATATTCTTTCAGAGTCCAAAGAATATTTTCTACAAACTTTGTTACTCTCATTGTGCTGTATCCCTTATTTTGTCAATTTATTTATCACCACACATTATTTTCTCCAGGGGAAACAGTAGGTAGAGAAAATTATGCACTGAACAAACACTAAATATTTTTAGTGATAAACACTAGACACAAAAACTAAAGCTTCTGCATTCTGAAGGCTGGTAAATAATCCCGTCCTTTGGGGATAACTGCACTGAAAGCAAGGGATGGTTTATAATAGTGGCTATTTAAAGCAGATACTCTATGTGGGTCAGGGGTATTTAAATGTTGTAGATACTGTTTCATCCCAAATCTTTTCACAAATATACTCCTGAAAAAAAGCTAAATGATACTGCCAACATGCTTGTTCCATGTCACTGTAGGACACAAAACAACACGAGCGCACACACCGCTGCTTTCAAGGTGAAGAAAAGGGAAGTTTATTTTCTGACTTTAACATTTATAGTTTTTTAAAAGTGACAGTGGATTGGAGGGTGAAAGAGCCACCTCTCCAATGACACTGGACAAACTAATAGTCTATCAAATTTCTCTTCTTCTATAAAAGAATACAAAACAATAAGTTATTTACAGAAAGTGTGTGAGAAAGTTCTTTACAAGAATGTAAACATCTGAAGGTTTAAAAAAATCTTAAAAAATCAAAACAATTAGGATTTATTACATGCAGACTCTTTTGGATACAACATAACCTCAAGTTAGCGTGGTAACTATACAAGAAAGCATGACCAAAATGCTAAATATTATAATGGGATATTTCGATAATTCTGCCATGCCAAAAGAGTACAACAGCTGCAAAGGCAGTTTGGTGGTGCTATGAACACCTTCCCTCAGTTGTGCTGCGCTGTTTTCCTACTGAGAGCCAGCCTGGGGCAGTGTCAGTGTGAACTTACCCGCCACCAGTGCCCCCATTCTTGCTGAAGTGCGTGCGCGGCTCGCTCGACGCCAGCTTGAGCAGCTCGTTCCACTCGCGCTCCCACTCCTCCTCTGTGTATACCAAACCTGACTATGGGGCACAAGGAAACACTGTCACCACTCTGCTGACACACAGTGCAAGCTGAGCTCTGTACCAGTGTTTGCAACTCACCTGAGTTTCACACATGACTCAGTTCAGTATCTTGGGCCATTAATAGTTCAACATTTCTACTCAAGTGAAAGAACATTAACTTATTAAAAAGATCTAAAATACCAACTGTAGAGTTAGCACATTCACTTGTTTGCCGTCAGGATTACTCCTGAAACTGGCTTATCTAGACACTGCACAGACATCTTCAGGAAATAGTAACATGCTGAAGGTACAGCCTTTAATCAAAAATAAAATCAGATTTAAAGACTATTTTAGTTAGTTAGAACACTTCCACTCAATATTTGGCCACATCTCTAAAAATCCAATTCAAGATTCTGGGAAATCATTCCTAAATGGGGTTCTCTCTGTTTTGTGGATTTCATCTACTCATTTTTAAATGCTTTTGATAGCTAAATTACACATTTATTTTTCTACATATTCCAAATGCACCTCAGACCTTTTAGGCACAAAACTCTGCATACTTATACCCATAAAGCTACAAACACATTTGCATTCTGGTATGAAAATTTCAAATAAAGGTGTCTCTTTCCCCAAACAAAATGGCAGCACAAGGAATTTGACAGCAATTAAAACTTTCATAGCAAACTTACGAAGAATATTTGTAACCCTAAAAGATATTAACAAGGCTGTCTTTGGGCCATACAGACCTCCTTATTTTGCTGAGTCTGTTGCCATCTCCATCTTCTTTTCAGTGCTTCCCTTTCAGCTCCACTCCTCATCATAGTATAGAGAGCTTTCCGTAACACAAGGTCCCGGTCGTGAAATCCCCACATCCCTAAGGCAGCACAAGATGAAATCCAGTTTTAAAGAAGCTACAGTGAAATAGAAATAGCTAATACATAATTGAAGATTCTCTCTAGCAAATAATTCACTCACTATTTTTAAGATTTCCAAAAGAAAGAGTTACCACAAATAAGCTAATGAGCAACAAGAGTTCTAACACATTTTAAACTTTGATTAGGAACAACCAAGGATATGAGCTGGTTCAGTTGCTTGCAGGCAACTCCAGCTTTGCTGCAAGCCATGGAATATTCAGTCCTCAGGTTGGTTTTAGCTGCAGGTGCCAGCAGGCACAAGGATGTTAATGAGCACTGCAGGCACTCCTTGGAATCACAGACCGGCTCTTACACAGCAGGAAATTTCCTCTGGCTTCAAAATGAAGAGAAAAGCATTCAAGATGACAGAAAGTTTAAAACTACCACCAGCCACAGGCTTTCAAGTTCATTCTAAGATAATGAAACATCTTTATATGGTTGGGAATAGTAACCTACACCAAAAGAAAGCAGAGCTGTCCCCAGTCCTGTGCCTACAGACAGCCATGTTTCAGTCACTCCATTGTCAGCTACTGGGTTCAGGCCAAAATACTCCAAACATTTACAGTAATTAACATATAAAATTAAGTAGATAAAGATAAAAAGATACTTGGAAACACCAAAAACTCTTTTCTTACTGCATCTTTCAACAAGAGGAGTCTCTTCAAAATATTAAAAATCCCAGTGTTTTTAAACAGCCACTCTTTGGAGTACTTTTGGTGGAAGATTTTAGCAGGTTAGGATGTAGAAAGCCCATCAAAGACCTTCAGCTTCACAGCTTTCTACTGATTTGCAGAAAGGCTTAAAAAATCTTGCAGAAACAATTAATTTATCAATTGGAGATTATTTTAATTCACCCCAAATGCTGTTTCACATATGCTTAAACACTACAAGGAACTAACAGATTGACACTGCATCCTTGAAACAGCAAAGAACTGTTTGAAGAAAATCAAGAGAATTAATGAATTTCCTTGCACATAAAGTGGACAACCCTGTGGAAGCCCCCAGAATTTGCCTGTTGACCTGTTAGAACACAAAAAGTACAAGGAATATACAGATCACTGGAATTTGTGATACATGGGTTTGGATACTGTTCCAGTTATACTTTTATATCCTGAGAAACCTTTTCCTTTCCTGCTTTAGGTATGCTTGAGGTAAACAACACTACAGTGAAATGTGAAGGACATATTGCTCCAGAATCAGACTTTTAATGCAAATCTTTGCATCTCATGTGTTTCTGAGCTTTGGCTGGGGCTAGAGGAGAGCAGTGAATATTTCTGGCAGAAGGTTTCCTGCCCAGACTGCCCCTTACCTAGAGAGGCAGCATGCAGGAGGCAGTTTCCATCACCCGTGGTGGCCAGGGGCAGCAGGCGCTTGCAGCTGGTGCACACTGTGGACCACCAATTGAGGCGTCCTGGAAGGGAAACAGCAGTTACAGGTGAGAGGAATCTGCAACAGGAGCAGTGCTCTGTGCAGCTAAACACAGAGCAGGGGGCGTAACCATCAACACCCTCCTTGCCAAATAACCTTAAATGTAATGTTAGAAGTCAAAACTGAGAAGATTAGAAATGAGGCAGATAAACTATTCTGTACATGGATCTAGAAAAGAAAAGAGCACCTTGAATTAATTTGCATCTTCCAGTCTCATATGCTGCATCCAGTAATGGATTTCCAAGGAGTTTATTGCCTTAATACCATTATGAGCCTTGCTGCCAGTTCCCAAACATAATCGACATTGGCCTCCCACACGCACATGACGGATTACATTAAGGTAATAAAGGAATTTTTGTCTACAGACAAAAGCAATATGTGTGTGGTAATCAAGATAGATTACTATAAAGGTAAGTTTATTAGGTAAATTATTTCAATCAGATGGATTGTTTCAACAGGTGATTCTCCTCTCATTTCCCATAGTGTAAATCATTATTAGATCTACTAAAACCAACAGCTACACTACCAGAGAATTAAAATGACACGAAAGCATAGCCTGAGGTGTAGTATAGAATGTGGCCTTTCTCTTTAGGGAATACTTACAGTACCACTTATACATCATTGCTATGTGGAGCATGTTTTACAGATTATAAACCAGAGACAGGCTCCGGAAAAGCCTGGCAAAAGGGCACCTATTCAGTGAAGAAATAAGTCATGAAGACTATCACTGCCCAAGCCCACACTAAAAGTGGGTAATTCCTGGCACACAGGCTGCCATGTGCTGGCAAACTGGAGTGTTAAGTCTTGGTTAAAAGATCATGGGAGCACTCCTAATAGAAAGAAAGCAAATGGGGGTAATTGTGTAGCATCTCTGGGGATAAGGAAGAGCAGATGATTAACAAGGATGAGTAGAGCCGGTACATTTACCAAGACTTGGCAGGTCTGTGGATAATGCACAAGTGAATAATTGAATGAATAATGCAATAAGCAGACCTTTTCTCCCCCAGTTTCTTGACTGGGAAGCTGGGAAGAAATTGCATCTATATATTTGTACAGGCAGTCTTGCACTTAAGGTTAAACCCCAAAACAGAAGGAAGTCCAAACAACAAATAAATGCCTCTCCATTAATAAGTTCTCATTACAAAATTATAGTGAAGCTTATTTATAACTACAGGTAATATACACTAGGGGGAAAAATAGTGTAGCAACATTTATTATGTATCCCAGTTATACTGGGTATACTAAGAACAATGAAATCAAAATGCAATTAGTCCAAATGTGTTAAGAGTACCACACTGTCAAGATGCATAGCAGATCAATAAGCACATCTGGTAATCCTCAAATGACCTTAGCAGCTGGTTTGTAAATGCACTACACCTCAAACTAGGCTTATTGAGTTCTAAATTAAATATGCAATAAAGAAGCTTAATTTAAAGCATTATTAAACAGCCTTTGGAAAGAACAAGATAATTTTTAGCAACTCCTGCATCTGTGAAATAACAATTTGCCACCTGGTTTTAGCAGAATGTTTTGGTGGGATCATATTCAGCAATAAGCTATAGCAAGGTGCTGTGTAAAGCCTAGTTAGAATATCTAAAAACAGACAGACCTTAGGTAGGACTTAAGGAAATAATGAGTGTCATTGCTTTGCAGATTAACTAACATCTATTGGTAAGAAATGTCAAAGTCTGGTGTTTGTGAATCTTTTCAGTAACAGGAGGTTTCTATAAAAGTGATCTTCTGTCAAGTGCACCCTGCAGAAAGCGTTTGGGACTTGGTTAACACCGCAAAGCTTATGGCTGACTGAAAAAATAGCAGGTATGGGTTTATAATTGGATTATAACAAAAATATGGTGCATTTTCATTTTTCAAATGTAGCAGTTATAGTGGGCCCCGTTAGGGAAAAACCAGGAAAATTAAGCTTAGATGAAAACTGAGATCAAACATTTCCACAGTTTTGGTGGACTGGTTTGGGGGACACAAAGCCCAGGCTTAACAGCATATTACTGTTTACTTTGGCTGTAGCTTTCTAGAAAACACAAACATGAGCACAGAAAGAAAAGTGTAGGGAAACAGCTCTTGGGCTTTCATACAGTATACTTGTACCATTTGTATTGAATTATACTTCAGCGCTGCAATAGAATTGGTTTTTCTTTCAGTTAAAAATACTGTGTAAGTCCAGCCATTCCTCTGCCGGTACTGTTTTTTAAAACCCACTACTTCATTATAGCAGAAGTTTTCATAACATCTCTTTGTGTCAACCCACACATTAAAAACACACAGGGGAGCATGTGTCTATAATGAAAATCAACTTGCTGAAGCAAAATATTACAAATTATAAAATTGCTTCCACCTAGACTTCATTTAATATTATCAGTACCTCGAGTCATCCTCTGTTGAAGAACCACAGCAATTCTTGCCAGAGCTCACAGAGATCAGCCTGTTACTCAGAAGCTGACCTCATTCCAATTCTGGCAATAATCAACAGCTGAGTTTACAAGATGGACAAAACCTCAAAATGTTTTTATGAATGTGATGCATTCTATCCTTTCAGAGGAATATTTGGAAAGCAATCATATTAAGGAGTAAACAATACATTACAGCAGGGGGGAGTAAGTAAATCACACTGCCTTTGTCTGGGCCTTTCCTTTATCATCTCACACAGCACTCTGCAGTAAATTGGGAATTTTCTTCTGAGTTTCCATACAGATAGGATGTAACCAGGACATGCTGTCACATATAGATGTCAAGCTAGCAAGAGTTTAAGATAAAAGAAAAAAAAAAACCTTAGAGGCTTTTACAGACACCCAGCTCATATGGCCACTTCAGAACCCATGTGTGACACTCTTAGTGGCAATTCTGCTCTCCCACTCCAGGTTTTGGGAGTAGTAAGCTGTTAGTTCCTAGCAAATGCCCTCTTCCTTTGCCTAATCAGCTTCTTTTTTATTTTTTTTCTCTTTAAATTCGTGGTATTATACCCAAGCACACGCCCCCTTCCTTTAACAACATCCCCAACCTCACCTATAAAAGCTACTGTCCTTCATAGGTTGGTTTGAAATATACTTTAGGCCCTTTGCAGGGAATACACCTCATCTTTTAGAATTTTTTTTATGTCATTGACCAAACCATAGTCAAACTGTTGGTAGGAGACAATAAAATGTCTAATACTACGTGGCTTTCCTATTAATTCATTATCTTCATTTTGTACAACAAATAAAATAAAATAGGCAGGAAACTGTATATCTTTACATCTAAAACAAAGACAAAAGGTTCATTTCTATGAAGTCTTACATGATTTTCTTAAGCAAACTATTTGATCTTTTTAACTTACTTGAAATACAGAAGTGTTTCTCAGAAAGTTCCAGGTTATCTGAATGAAATGCTCACAAAGTAAACTAAGTCACTAAGTCTATGCAGGCTACAAGGACACCAGTGATCAAAACCCTGAGGACTTCAAATGGTCAAACCCTCTCCTTTCCAGGGTGCAAGAGGCTCTGGGGATGAAGGCACTTTTCCAGTGTGTGTCAAGTTACTGCCCTAATTAATGTGAAGAAAAGAATAAATGATTTGTTCTAATTTTCAGAGAGGTTTGAGAGAGGAATGCTAGCAGCAAATTCGGTAGTTTCTGCAGCCATTTCCAGTTCAAAGCCAGCCAGCTCTGCATGGATTAGAGGATGTCAGCTCGAAATTCACATATTCTCTGATTTTAAGGTCAGAAAGCCTCTCTGATCTTCTAGATCATACTAGACTCTAAAGGCTGTAATTGCACTGAAGTAGGTAGGTCAACAATGGTGCTGTACCAAGGTATCTTCTGTTATCCTTATGGAATTTGGAGGGTTAGGCAGAACTGCCAGAGGAAGAATCATTCAATTTTTCCCTGTCCTCCTTGGGTTAGTTGGTTCTGAAAGAAACTGGATATATTTTCTTTGTAGGTGACTTGCAGTTCTCATGCTTCATAGTTACCTGGTAGCATTCCTACCTTATTTTACACTGCTATTTCTCCCAGAAAAAGGCCTAAAGGCCTTCTGAACACTGCTTGGGGTTCTTTTGGCTGCTCACAGGTTTTTTTTCTATTTCCTTAAGTATGTACTGTTTGGGGCTATTATCTAAGTATGTCTGGCTTTTCAATTACCAAAGCCAAAAAAGAGCACATGACAATATCTCCCAAGTACTCAGTGGGACACCAGATTAGCAGAGCTCCTGCCTCAAACAGGAGCTGCACTTCATCAGTTTGGGCTCACACAGGGCACAAGGGTTAGAGAATGAATCTCAGATCAACTCAGTGTTACACAAGTCAGTAGAACAATCCACACACAAAAAAGGTAACTGTCTGTTCCATATCCCACAAGCAACCATGAAATCTGATTTTACAACTCTTTTATATCACCAAGGTTGGGCATTTCACTCTACAGATGTGTTCATTTCATGGTTCATTAGCACTCCTGCTGTTTCATAAAGCACCAATACTAATTTTAAATAGATTTCTCCATATCCTTCAAAATTGGCTTAAAACTTAAAACTACTAATAGATGTGAATTAACATTAATTTTAAATATCTAAACTTTTTTTCCCATGGCAATACTGAAGTATTGCTTTCAAGTTATGTAGTTTCTCATTATAAAAAATAATAAATACATAAAATACATATCTATTTTCTCAAGCTACAACACAACTTGAAGATGTTTCCTTTCACAGTCACTGCAATGTAATTTCCTCACAAGAACTGGAAGTACCAACTCCCTCTGACCATACAGACTTATGTCCTTGTCTATTGCATGACTTCCCCACCGGTCCCTTCCTTCCTCTCTCAATTTCTTTGTTTTATTAATGAAATTTGACCATTTTTTCTATAATGTTTTAAAAGAAACAGAGGACTGGGATATGAGTCATTTGGCAAAGAACACAGTAACTCTCTGGCTTTTATTTCCCAGGCAGGACGTGCAAGCTCCGGACACGAAGCAGGATTAGAAATGCCAACCCAAACGCTGGATTGGCCACCTACTGACACCCACGGTGTCACCCAGCTGCTGACAGACACCTGAGGTGTCACCCACCTGCTTGCTCCAATGCCACCATGGTGGCCTGCTCAATTAGGTCCCTCTCAATGAAGCTCCTGAAGTCCTCGCTGTACACGCTCAGGTCTGGCAGCTGGAATGTGTAGATGGGCATCTCCAAAGGGAACTGCTCATTGCTGCAGTCATTGGCTACATGGGAGCGAGCAAGGGACACTATGGCTGAGCTGGCATGGGAAATCCCTCTGGAGAGACGCTTTTCTGTGGAGAAACCAAAGAGCAGTTACAGCCTGTACCACTGCCTAAAAGGCCAGCAATGCCAAGGCTGGTGAATGCACTTTCTTTTCACTAGGAATTTATTCCATATCTTGTTTGCTACCTTTTCCAGGTTATTTTCCTACTGTAAAAGATTGCTTGATCCTATTACAGGTCCCTTTGGCAAGCCAGAGGAACTTGACTCTCCTTCTAGCAAAAAAGACCAGTAGTAAAAGTAACAAAATATGAAAGATAAATATTCCTATAAAATTCTTCCTTGATCTATCTTAAGTTTTCAAAGATTCATTGGAAGAAATATTTATTGACAGACAGATGATAATCAGTTAATGCTTTGAACTCCTAATTAAAGCTCACTTTAACATAACTTATCGCTAATAGTGTTTTTAAGACATCACAAACTGACTAATGGTAATTTAAAATTAACTTTCTTGCAGTTTGTGAACTTTTATTTCTCCAGTGGATCAAATGGAGAGTTAAATTGCACTCCCTAAATTGTCCTAAATGGAGGGAGAGGGCAGAAGGTTTGATTTTGCATTGGTTTCTTCTCCCTCTACATCTCAGGTAAATCCCCTGAGAAGGGGCACTGAAGTGCAGGGCAGCACCTCCATGTGACATCCCATCTCTGCCACTCCACCACCCCTCCCAGCACAGCACAGCCCAGCCCTCCCCTGCTGGCTGCATTCTCCACTCCTTGCTGCAAACCAAGGTGCTCCTTTCCCTTCTCTGCTCCTCCCTGAACACCCCTAGGTCCAGGGGTTCCCTGTCAGTCAGAGGTGGCTCTCTGGTCAGGAGATCCTCAGCTACACACTGAGTTGGCAGCCAAATTCCTGTCAGTCCAGGTGGTCAAAGCCAGATGTACCTCACACTACCTACTGCACCCACTAAACATCAGATGGACATTTCAGTGCAAACTGTATCCCAAAGAGACTGAAGGGACATGGTTTTATCAACTGTGCTGCTCTTGCTCTCTTTATTTGTATTCAGTGCTTTAAGGAGACTTAAGAAGCACCACAGTTCCTTTTCTTCTGATGGAAGTCAGCAATTTTTAAAAAGCTTTACTGAAACTCCTAAGAACTGATGCTATTTCCTGTTTAATAGCAGAGAAGAGCCAGCAGGAGAAGGGAAGCCCTTCTGTTCCTTTTAATGGCTGCACAGAAAGCCATCACCAGGCTACTGCTATTACCTGCCTACATGACAAGCTGCCAGACCTGCAGATTTATTCTGGTGCAAACTCCAGCTTCTTGAGAAATTCATAGAAAAAAATTGCAACTCAACTGTCAGAGAGAGGGAGAGATCTGAAATAAAACCCCTAAGAGCTCTGAAAACAAAAAAACAAATTCTAATGCTTATCATCTTGTACTGGAAATTAACTGTTAGAGACAGCTGATTAATTTTACTTAAGGTTTCAATTTCTATTCAGCAGGGGATAGGAGGCAGTTTCTGTGGTACCATAAAAGAATGACATTTTAAAGCTGAAAGTTATTCATAGTCTGCATACACCCTTTTCACACACTGTGAGTAAGAATGCAAAGAGTGAAATACGGATTTTTAGACCTTTTGGTTTGTTTGTTTCAATAAGCATAGAAAACTATATACAAGAGTGGTCTGTGACACCCTCTAATTAACTCCTTTCATGAGTACCACAGGACTGCTTGGAGACAACATATTTTGCTTTAATCACCCATTAAAAAAATAACTTGCAGAACTGACGCAGAGCTCACAACCACCAAAACATGAAAAATAGGGTCTAGCAGCAGCTCTGAGCCCCGTGACAGTGACACAGCTCACACGCTGCTGGCACATGGCCTCCCACTCTCTGCAGCCAAGCACAGCTCCCAGGCAGACAGGCTGGAGACCCTCCAGTCCCCTGAAACCCCACAGAGGAGCTCTTACCTTGGGCAATGTCATCCTGCCTTTGCAGGCAGGGCCTCTCAGCCTTGGTCACCTGGGGAGGCTGCTCTGGCTCCTGCTGCTTGTAAAACCTGCCCTCGTTGAACGCCTGGGGCAGGTTGGCCGTGTGCACCTGCCGCAGCTGCTCATAGTCGTTCAAAGCTGCTGTCAGGTCCCAGTTCTTGCCTGCAAAACAGCAAAGGAACCCTCAGCTCAGCTCTGTCTGGGGAGCAGCTATCCCCACCACCCTCCTGGGACCCCCCCAGCCTGTGGCATCCAAACACAGCAGCACTGTGAGAAGAAGTGTCAAAGCCAGCTACCATTGACTAAAAGGCATCATCCACTGCTCTCCTCTCATCCATAAACCCAAAATCTATTACATTTATCACAGGAGGTGATCAAGGCCAGGACCTCCCTTGCTCAGATTTCAATCAAATGGCTCCAGAAATTAGCAATTTACGATGAAATCTAAATCCCACTGAGAGGGAGCAATAATTTGTAATTGTGTGGTCGTATTAATAATAAATAATAATTAGGAGCAATGATGGAAAGACAATAGTGATAGTGTCATAGCCCAAAAGAGTGAGAAACTTTCTTATCTTTCATTTGCAGAACAGCTAAAATGCAAACACAAACCCTTTATCTCATACATGAAAGAGAAGTCATTCTCTTAGAGATTTTAAAAACCTTTTAGAAAGCTGGTAATAAAGGACAGAGTTCTGTAACAAAACCTGCAGCGAGAGACTCAGCCAGTGTGGCTCCATGTCTGTGGGAGCTGCTCATGGAACCTGTCAGCACAGACTCTTCTAAAGGATTTGCTTCCACCTTCCCCTTCAGTATGCTCTGACCAGTAACCACAGAATGCAGCCAACATCCAGAGATGCACAAATCTGTTTAGTACAGGTGTTGAAACAGGACTTGGCATTCTCAAAAAATACCATGAAAAACACGTTGAGGTGTCTTCCTGCTATTTTCAAAATAATCCTGCTAAATTAAGATACAGAGAATGTCTACCATTCTCCAAGTATGTGTTTCTAATTGGAAAATTAAAAATAATAAATAACAAGAAAGAGAGACCCTACAAGCTACATGAGACTTTCAGAGCATTCCACAAGCACTTTTGCTGGCAATTCAAAAGTAACCTGATTCTGACTAATACATGATTTATTACACCATAGAAGGTTGTCATTTTATGTACTTTGAGAAGCTACATTACCTGAGTAGCAGTTAAAGATAACTTACTTGCTTACACCAAGGAGGTAAGCTAAATATAGTACAAAGCAGTTTTAAACAGATAGAAGAAAGCCTTTTCCTGCTACAGTGATATCTGTGAAGAAAAAAATTTTAACCAAAGAAGGAAAAAACCAGCACAAACAGCTGGTACCTACAGGATTGGGCTAAACTACCTCAGGTTTTGAAGTACTTAAAAACCTCTGAAAGGAGAATTGGTATCACTGAGCAAGAATGTTATCTAGCTCCTGAGCAGACTATAATATAAACCACCACATGAGCCACACAGAATTGTTCTGTAATGCTGTAATTGCCTATTAGAAAGTCTGTAGGAAAAAATGTAAGTTCAGTGAAAATTGTCAGAGATACTGGAACAAGAACTTCAGCTATTGCCAGCATTTGTTCTCTAAAAAGCCCACGTAGAGTGAATGGCTGTTATCCAGTCAGGGCTCTGCTCTAACTTTACACACATCCCAACCAAGTTACACAACCCAAAAAGAGCTATGAGTGCATTCCCAAAACCAATCAGTGTTTGGAGTAAGAACTGCTTTTCTTTGGTTCTGGTTTTAAGAGGCACTTTACACACATTTTTAAATTATTCTTCTCAACCACAAAAACAATAAAGTAAATTAAAAAAAAAAAAAGTAAGTATAATTCTAGGAAATGTAGCTTTAAACAAAACATTATTATTCTAGTATTGGCAATGCTACAAACCCAGGGCTATGTGACCCCCAGGAACATCCTGGATTCACTGAGTACAGATCCCTGAGCACCAGACCTGCAGCAGTGGAACACAAACAGCATTTCTCAGGGCATTCCCTGCGGTTCCCCTGCTCAAGATTTTTTCATGTTTAAATTCTGAAGCTAACAAAAATCCCAGTGCATGTGCTGTAAGTGGCTGCAGTGTGTCAGGGCTTTGATGTACATAAGACGAAAGCAGAAAATCAGCAGACTCACAGAAATCCCACTGGCCTCAGTTTTAAACCAAATGCAATCATCTTATATAAAAGCTCTGTCATAAAAATTAAATTGAGCCTTCAGAAAGCAGGCTCACAGTGTGTTGCATTTAAAACTGGATTTGCACAGTGGCTCTTGAGTTACGTTCCATGGTACATTGTAGCAACTCAACTTCTAATATAGACTTGAAACCTTACAAAAATTAAAATTTCTATACCTAACACAGAAATATTTGATTTTCAAATCTCTTCATATCCCTGGAGTTCTCCCCATCTCCTGAACAGAAGCACCAATTCAGCACCAAAGCCCTGAACTTCAGAAAACCAACACAGGAAATTATTATTGGACTCATTCTCCCTAAATTTGCTGGAGCCTCCAAGCATTGAAATGCAAGAAAAACATTCAACTAAATTAAAGAACATTCAGCACCTTTCCATCTCCATGAAATAGTGTTTTTGAAAATTAGCCACCCTCACTAACCAGCATAAGTGTTCCCAGCTACCCTCTCCACTGGAAAGATGGAAGGTTTCCCCCTTTGCCCCTCTCCATTTGGTTTACACTTTCACAAGTAAATACAAATGACAAATCTCTTGTTTTTCCCACCGCCCATAAAAAAAGATGAGAATTCATCAGTTTGGGAGAATTAGCAAAGAAAAATTCTAAGCAAAAATAAAGAAAACTGAAGGCAGCAAAGACAAATAGAGAAAAGAAAGAGAGAACAAAAGTAAGGGGTTTATGAAAGACTCTGAGAGAAGAAATACAAATAAGTACAAAAATTTATTGCAGTGCAAAAAAATTTTAAAAATTTAACAAATCTAATAAAAAATATGATGTAATTTGTACCACAGGAATAGACTGCAGAAACAAGAGGCAAGCTGAGAACCAATCAAGAAAATTATTAAATTCAGAAATGTCCAGAGTAGATGATCTGAACAAGGATTTCTACCAGTGTGACAAGTAGGTGAGAAAGTTTCAGCTACAAAGTACTGAGGAAATTAGTGGGGCTTGTGGTTGTGGAGCCTATCTTTCCTCCTTTAAACATTGCATACTAAAAGCTTTTGAATTTCTAAAACTGTATCTTATTACATCACAAACCAAGTTTTGAGAGACAAAAGCTGCCTGAGTTATGCTAGGTTGGAAATGACAAAAATAAATTCATATAATAGGGCAAACAAACACATCCTCCCTCCCAAAGCCTACAGGGCAGGTCCCTCCTTCCAGTCTTGCTCCTTGTCCAACAAGTGGCATTGGCCCCCTGGTTTGGGGCAGACTGCACAGAGTCTCTCTGGGCCCCTAGAGAAGGGAAAGAGGAAGTCTTCTCCTAAGTTTGTTTGTGTGTGTCTCCCATGCTCTTCTCTGACATCTTCCAGACCCTGCTCCTCACACAACCCCCCCTGCTCTGTCACATCTCTCATTTTCTTTGCCATCTCCTGCAAAGGCACCCAAGAGAAAGGGCCAGTCTTTCCTACCCCCACAGAGGTTATGCCTGAAGGACAAGTAACAGGCAATTAATTTATTTTTCATAATTTCATTAATTAAGTCAAGTAAAAGCTTTTGTTGCAATTTGACAGACAAAACCAACACAAGTCTATTTTTTAGATTGTCTGCAATTTTTGTTTCACTGTTACTTATCTGATGCATGCTGTTCACTGGCTGCTTCTTTGTTTATATGACATATTATTGTATTTTAGAAGGCATTTCAGAGGCATAACAACGTTATTTCAGTGCACACAATTACATCAGATAAGCCACTAGCAGCTCTGGATCAGTAACAATTTGATTGCTCCAAACCAGCCCCAACACATTAGGTTTGCAGCAAAGGCTTCCAGTTTCAAACGGCCAGAGAACATGAGTCAGCAAAAAAAGCTGGAGGAGCACAAAGTTGGTTGGAAAACACAGGTAGTTTATCATTATCAGGGTGCTGGAACCAAATAAACTCACTGACTGAATACAAAGAACACACTTACTGAGCAATTGCTTCCTGAACAGCTATATGTGCTATGCGAGTCAGCAGGTGTGGAATTTAACAACACTCAAAGGTCTCTGCTTTGAAACAAAGTCCTTCTTGTTCAGAGGAAAAACAACAAAACACAACACACATACACACACCAAAAAAAAAAAAAAAAAAACACCAAACAAAAAACCCACAAACAAAAAAACCCAAACAAAACCAAAACAAACAAAAAAGTGCTGCTGAGTAGGGAATAGAAGATACACTGTGGCTGAAGGCTGGTACAGATGCTAGTGTCAGAGATAGCAGACACCTACATAAAAGGGAAATTCAAGAATAAACACAGCTACACTGTGAAGTTTCTGCCCTAAATAATGGTTCCTTGAATAGCAACAGGAGGTATTATAAGCCTGAAGAAAAAACAAAGATTTAGATAAAACAATATATGGTCTAAATAGCCACTTCCCCTCAAACTAGATTAGCAGAGGGTTAATAAACAAGGTACTAAAGGACAGCACAACTAGGATTCACCTTAGAAGCATTGATAAAAACATAGACTCCAAGAATGGTTTAGGTTGGAAGGGACCCCAAACATCATTCCATTCCAAGCCCCTGACATGGGCAGGGACACCTTCCACTGTCCCAGGGTGCTCCAAGCCTTGTCCAACCTTGCCTTGGACTCTTCCAGGGATTTGGTCAGCCACAGCTCATCTGAACAACCTGTGCCAGGGCCTCACCACCCTCACAGGGAAGAGTTTCTTCCCCATATCTAATTTAACCCTGTCCTCTTTAGTTTGAAGCCATTCCCTTGTGTTATCACTCAGGCTCCTGTCAAAAGCTCCTCTCCAGCTCTCTTGGAGCCCTTTTAGGTATTGGAAGGTGCTCCAAGGTCTTCCCAGAAACTTCTCCAACAGCCCAAGGGTGTCACAGCAAAGGTGCTCCAGTCCTTTGAGCATCTTCATGGCCTCCTCTGGACATGTCCTAAGAGGTCCATTGGGGGAGCACAGCTGGATGCAGCACTCCAGGTGGGGTGTCACAAGGGCATTCT